CCTCCTTCGCCCCCACCAAACGCTGAGATGTTTCGTATGCTTTCTTCTGCCTGTTTTAGCAAAAAATGTAACCGTTTTCATTGGTTCCTCAAATCTTCCTTTTTTTAACTCTACAAATCGATGTGACAAACACACATTTGAAATATTGTGTTACTCCTGGTCCTTATGCAAAGCCAACAGAGTCCTGGGAGAACATGCTGTCATCTGTTTCTCCTCAAACACCACCAAAAACAAATCAGTAATAATCTAGGTCCTACTTTTTGCAAAGCAGTTTTCACAGGGGGGTCTCCAAGAGAGGAATCCCATAGAAAGCAGTAAAAATTTGGGTCTGCATTTAGTTCATTGCACAATGGTGTTGCATAATAGTAACCAAAAACAAATTAAGACAACTGCAGAGTTGCAGAAGTGTCAAAGATAGTCGATGTAAGTTTGTGAAAGTCTTTGTCATTGGCCACGAGGCATCAACAAGAAGCAAAGCAGCTCAACTTTCAGAAAAGAAGTTGAATTTGCAGGGCTGGGTTTTATGAGAAAAATGACCTTTCTTACTTCTAAATGGAGAGACCCGTTTCAGATGCAATAGATTTGAAAATCTACGTTTCCATTTCAGAATGTAACTTTGGTTTCAATAAAAGCAGACTTTTATTGGCAAGAGTACAAAAATAGAGTAAAAACCTTAGCCAAAATGTATCTGAACACAGATGTCTTACGTGAGTATTTCTATACATATTGCTTAATGGGAAACAAACAGAAAATATTAAAATATTGGTACAAGATCTCTGATGTACTTAGTTTCCACTGAGCACAGAGAAGTCTGCATATTGTAGGCACCATTACAAAATGAAGGTGTGGCTTCCTGATTCGTTTCCCTAGCTCTGGCCCAGGACCGTGTCAGGATAGCCCAAGGCTTATCCTGTCTTCCATAATGATTGCCAACTCTTCACTGATAATCCACAAATGTCATAAGTGGATTCTTTTTCATTCAAGTCATTAATGGAAATATTGAATAGTACTGGGCCCAGGCCAACCCCTGTAGGACTCCTCTAAAATGTCTTCTGAGTTTGATAGTGAACCATAAAGAAGTGTTTTGAGTGAGTTTTTTTCCATTGGTGGTGCACCCACCTCAAAATGATTTCTCTGAGACCATATTTCTGTAGTTTACTTATACGAATGTCATCTGGAATCCGGAAAAAAGCCATGCTAAAGGCAAGATCTCACATCTACTGCGTCTCCCTTATCCACTAGGTCTAATTACCCTGTCAAAGGAGGAAATTAGATGAATTCAACACAAATATATGGTCTTGACAAATATATGTTGCTTGTTTTAGCTCAATATCAGTTTTTTAAAATAATTTGATCTTGTATAATAATTTGTTCCTGTTATTTCCTAAATTTTCTTTTAATTTTTTTTTTTTTAAACAGGTATTATGTTTGCCCTTTTCTAGTTATCTAGGACTTCTCCTGATCCTCCAGGAGCTTTAAAAAATAATAGCTAATGGTTCAGAGATGGCTTCTTAGAAACATTATGGTAATGTCAAATATGACATGGGCTGTCTAAGGTTAATATGATACTTGTCAGATTAAAGGGCAGATCCTTTGATGGAGTAAAGGGAAATTCTTCTGTTGATGTGGCGTGCTGATTTATGATTTGTAGGCCTAAAGTATTCTTTGGAGGGTGGGATTGAGGATGCACTTAATTATACTACAAGACTATCTTTACAAAGAGATCTCTTTCGATTTCCATTGTTTTATTTCATATTTAGTTCCAATTCCATCTGCAAAATTTGTTTTTCATTTCCTATGTATGCTTTACTACCTCTTTCATGCAAACCATGTCATCCTGAGAACAGTAACACTTCTATTATTTAAAAATGTTCTTTCCTTAAAAGGAAAACTTAAATTAGAAAAAAATAATTCTTTTGTCTAAAGTACAGAAGCTGCAATACCTGCTGTGCTGATAACCATATTATACTGACAGACAATCAAATCTTAAAGATTAAAATTGATTAAATAGGAAACATTTTAACATTGCTAAATGTCTTGTGGCTGAAGTTGTTTCCGTTCATAATTTCCATCCAACGCCAGATCAAAATTTTCCTTCTCTTGCTCTCGAGAGAGTTCCAAGAACACCTAAAATACACAACAAAAAAGGTCTAGTTATTTTTCAGTGTCAATAATTAATCCCTTCACCAACTTTTATTAATCTTTGCAATGCCAGTTTTTGGGTTTGCAGCTGCTCAAAAGGCAAACCCCACTCAGAATGGGCTCTCTGCTGATCGAGATAAGGCAACTACCTAATACTCCGGAAATTGGCTCACTAAACTTTTGGAGTAACGCTTGGGGAAGGCATCGTCTTCTCAGGACCTCTGTAGATTTCTGTTGATGTTGGCTCTACATACATTCCCAAAGGCATATTTAAGTCAAAAGCTATACAGCCGGAGCGTAGTACTAGCTATTTATGGTGGCTGTTCACACCGAGATGAGAAGGTAACATTTCTTTGAGTCATTTTCATTTCCCTTTGAATTTCTTATAAGCTTTGCAATAGGGACCAAAACATATATCTAGGCCAAGGGGAGAAGCAGCTGCAGAGGTCGCATTGCCCACGGTGGTGATCGAGGTGGTCAGTTCCACGCTGCAAAAAGGACACATTCCCCTCTTTCTCCCCTACGTGGGTCTGCAGGACAGGCCGTGCTCTGCCCCCGTTGCTAGATTTAGCCCTTATAGGATTTGGAAACCCATCTGTTTCTCCAACACATTTCCTTCTTTTGTCAAAGCCTGATGAATATAGTATGCTGCCTTTGTGTCTCCTAAATTTTATAGCTTGTGTCTCTGCGCGCATCACATGCCTGCATCAAGGTGTTCAAAGAGAAGCTGTACTCCTCAAAGCCGAAGGTTTGTTTGGCTGTGGAGAAATTAAAATATAGTCAAAGAAAATACTATTGCCCTTTTCAGGTGATCTTGGTCTGCTGCTTCTGCTTTCATTCTTACCTGCCTCGAGCTTGGAGAAAGCCTGGGACAGAGGAAGAGCATCTCCCATTGGTATCTTGTAGACCAGCAAAGAAGGAAACCTGTGGGGAAGGAAGAATACATCATAATTTTTTGCCTACCTCCTCAGATTAAGCTTGTGGACCACATTGGGCGTACCTCCATTGTGGGGCAGAAAGGGAGAGCACTTCACTGTATGGCCATATACAGACCAGCAGCTCGTTATCTGGAGAATGTCTCTATAAATCTATTCTCAATAGATGATCTTGGATTGGGATGTAACATTTGCTGCCAAACTGCAGAGGGAATGATGTACTAAAATTCTGCAGGCGACCAGCAGTACATGACCTAAACCTATAATGGGACCAGATATATTGGCAGTTACCGCTCTTGACGAGCTGCTTGTGGGAAGATCGTCAGAATTTTGGCATGGAGTTCATCGACTTGCTCAGGGTCCTTCACTTTAATTTCCAGTAGGTAACCTTTGCCAAACTTGCTTTTCAAATACTGAATGGAGCCAATGCACCTGTTAACAAGGGAAGAAGCACAGTATGAAATAGTGATTAGTGGACTTGGCGTTTTCCCCACAACTCTCATCTCATAGTGCAGGAGATATAAGGAATTAACCGGCTCCAAAAAAATCTCTCATTTCCATGAGAAACACTTTGCTCTTGCTATTGAAGCTATCTTGAAGCCTACCGGAGCTCTCCAGCCACCATGATGGCCACCCGGTCACACACTGCCTCAGCCTCCTCCATGTAGTGTGTTGTCAAAATAGCCCCTTGCTCCTTGTTCTTCAGTGAAGCATGAATTGCTTTCCTAAAACAAAAGGGCTGTTACACCACAGGAGTAGACAAATGAGTTTTCCTATTGTCCTTTCCCCTCAAAATGGCAAAAATGATTACTCTGAAAATATTAACAAATCAATGAATACATGAAGGTACTCTGAAATAATGATACAACTGCACATTTATGAGCAAAACCCATTACAGTTTGTTCCAAAACAACATTTGCTGTAGTGCTGGGTTAATGAGGAAGAACTGCTATTAAAAGGCTTTTGCTTTAGCCAAATGTATTTTTCTTAGGCCAATGAGAGTTGTTTTCAAGTAACAGAGTTGTCAAGTGGACAAGGGTACTAACTAGAGCAGGGCTGAACTTGCTTATAAATCTGAGATGCAGACAAGAGCCAAAATTTTGTTTCATACCCTGATTATTTTTCCAGATTGTGAGATGTTAAAATGCGAGAAACCCCATAGAATGATCAAGGAACCTAAATTATATGAACATTAATTTTAAGACATTATTGCAGCTATGCCAATAACCTAGAGGTTGAGAACAAAGATATAATACATTTCCAAAATTGCTGGGCTCCACAGCTTCCACTGACTTGAAAGGGGTTTTTTTAGGTGTGCAGTTGCGTATTTAGAAATCTTAGGTACCCAGTCTCAGCTCCCAACACTTTTGCACCGTTTCAATTTAGTCCTGAGGTGAAGGCCTAATCATTGGCACAGGCAGTACTCACCACACTTGACGTTGGCCTTTAGGGTCCATTCCAGTGGATGGCTCATCCAAGAGCATAACTGTTGGGTTACCCAGCATGCTCAGGATGAAACACAGCTAAAATGGAAGAAAGACGTTGAATGGACAACTTCAGAAAGGTAAGCTGTATGACCAAAGGCAATATTTGGCCCAACATATTTTATGTGCCTGTGACACATCTACTGGGGTCTGAACCCAAGTGCGCATGCACGCTGGGAGTCATGTTACCCTTAATAACTCTGTACTTATTATATTAAAACATTCTGAGTATCATGCTGTGCAATATTCTGTTCTATAGTATGTGGAATGATATAATTCCTTCTGAAGTGAAGCAGCACAAATATTGGTGCACTCTCTCATAGAAAGCAACGCAAATCTTATCCACTTAACTGGGAGCAGAACTACACCTTTTATCCATTAATGTAAGCCTTTTATTAACATATTGAATGTCGCAAGAACTCGTACTGTTTTGTGGAGATAATTCACCAGCCATTACTTTAATGCAGTTAATCCCAAACAGAGATTTTACTACGTCTGCAACAAAAATTCAGTCTAAAGCATGGAAGGCTACATTCGGTTCTCATTTGTTTCAGTGGCATGTGTGAAGCTTGTCCAGATATCACACTCGTGGAAGTGAGAATGGAATTCAATATTAGAAGAACGTCATGCACCTTTCTCGTTATGCCAGCGGATAATGTCCTGGTTTCTTTTTTTAAATGCTGCTGGAGCTCCAGAGTTTTCACCATTCTGTAGAGCAAGGAGAAGAAAGAAAGGGAAATGAATGTTTGTTTTCTCCCTCGCAGTCCCCACTTAAATGAGACTGGCAGCAAAACGGAAAGAGTTGACGCTCCTCCCCACCTAGGGTTTTGGGGGCAAATTTGGTCAAGAGAGGACAGTTTTAAATTTTCTAGTGAAGTTTTTGGTAGAATTTGCCTATTTCCTTCTGTGACCACCACCCTTTCTATTTGCATTTCTCCCTTTGAGAATCAGAATCGCAGCATCTGGGAGAGGGTTCAACTTCCAGCTGTTGAGTGGCAGGGGAAGGGGGAGCGATGGAGACTCTGGAAACTGGAAATATTTTTTGTTGGTACCGATCGATGGCGACAGCAGCATCTTCTTTCCTCAGCCCTTTCACAGCCGCATAAACCTCCAGATGCTCCTGCACGGTCAGGGTTGGCCAGAGAGGGTTCCCCTGAGGGCAGTAGCCCAGGAAGCCAGGGCCTCTGGCTTCCAGTTGAGATCCAGCTGCATCCTTCCCCTTCGCCAGCACCTGCACAAACAATCAGGTATTCTGCTCTTGTGTAATCATTTGATAAATAGGTGGAGTTCAAATACGAGGAAGATTAATGACGGGATCATTGAGGGTTTGTAAAAGGAGAATTACTGAGCAGAAAGCACTGCTAGGTAGGGGTGTGCAAAACAGGCCCTGTTAGATTTGGCTTCAGCCTGAATCAGGGACAGTGATTCAATTCGTTGATTTGGATCACTGTCCCTGATTCAATTTGGCATGATACAATTATTTCCAGTATTAACAAATGTATGATACTCAGAAGGACTTTATATTTTTGTTTCAAGTATTCCGATTTTGTTTAGTCTGTAGAAAGTTAGTTCAGCTTGTGAATGTACAAAATAGACATTCTTCTAGTGATTACTTTAACAGCTAACAATTTGCATGATTTGTACTTGCATGCAATTGTACACATGCAAGTACAATTTGCATATGTACTTTTCATAGCATGATGTGCAGGGCTAGAAATCTCATCCCAAATATTGCTTTGTTTTACTGTAACGATAACTTAGGAGTAAGCACTGGACTTTCCACTCACACAGTCACTTTGCAGTCTATTTGCCTCACCCACCTGCCCAGCGCTTAGCACAGTCTCTCCCGTGATCATATTTATGGTTGTACTTTTTCCAGCTCCGTTGGGTCCCAGCAGTCCTAATACCTCTCCTAGAACAAAGATGAACCACGTTTCAATCTTTCAATTAGGGAATCATGAAAATAATTCTAGTAAAAGATTCCTGGGCTCTGACCTCTTCTAACACAGAAAGAGACATTTTTGGTGGCCACTTTCTTCTTTTTCTTAAAAACAGCACTGGCTTTCTTGACCTTATATTCCTTGCGCAGATTGTTGACCATAACAACTGGTTTCTGGGGAGAGGGGGGAAAAGAAAACCCTTTAAAGAGCAAATCTCTTGCATTACACAAAACCATGGGACACCCTGTCTGCACGGAGGTGGGAGCACACTCCTGCTAAGCTGCTCCCAGGCTCCCCCTGCCCATTCGCTCTCGCACACGTGCTCCAAATGCAGAACTACAACCATGACAACAGCTCGAGGTGTCCCTCTGCATCCACATTGCAGACTGGGGTCTCTGGCACGCTTGAAAGTGGCTGCTGAGCGCTGACTCCTGAGTGCCGACCCTCTGAGGTGAGGGGGTGGGAAGAGGTCAGAAGAGGGGCAGCTCAGCAATGGCTCAGCTGGGGACTGGGCACCTAAAGGAGTCGGTGCGATGGGGATGCAGGCAGGGGTCAGTGCTGGCCCAACGACAGTCTAGACAGCAGCAGAGCTTAGGCAGGGGTCAGATGCCTATGAGATGAACAGGATTGGTCCTGAGCATGTCCAGGTAATACTGCAGTCCAAAGAGGAGGCAATGAGGACACTTTGGGGCCTAGAGTGTTTTATGGCAAATGGAGGAGGTCCAGTCTTTGTAGTAAGGCTCTTAATTCTCTCTTAGTCTTGTAAGGAGTCTACTGGACCAATTGAGGTGTGGCCCTAAATGGCACACAGGTATTACTCTTGCCCTTTCAGCTTGAACATCTTCCTTTTATTCTCCTGTAAGGACACTACAAGACCCACTGAGGTGTGGCCATAAATGGCACAAAGACATTCAGTGTTAGACTGATAAACTGAAGAGTGCCTCTGTCTTCCTCTGTATTGAGACTAAACATTATGCCTGATATATTCTTGGTAGTAACAATAATACAATTCCAAAAGTGTGTGTGATGCTGCCAAAGCGTGCAATCACAATTCTCATTCCAAGCTTCATTTGTTTTAAATACTTTGAGACCAAAAATGCCCCCCAAAAACAAAACAAATGGAAAAAAAAACCTAGAGAAAACAAAGCTTTCTACTTTCTATTTAAAAACTATATTTTCAGTTCTTATTTCAGCTAAGTCCATTTAGAAGTCAGTTTCTATGTCTACTTATCCCATTTGGAAAGTCAATTCTTACCAGCAAAGACAAGTAAGGTAAAGCATTGGACTTTCTCACCAGTATTTATTATTCTTTTAGCAGTGCACATTTCTACCAACATGAAAATGTGACTAGAGTAGGCAGACATGCAGACAGGAAGGCTGCTTTGTTTTACCTCCTTCTGATTCTGAGATGCTATTGCCTGCCTTACTCTTTCCCTTTCCGCTTGAACATCTTCATCCTCCTCTTCTGGTTCATCTGGATTCTGATGGCAAGGCTCTTTCCCTGGGGAAAGTCTATAGATCAACAATGCCAAGTTAGTCTGGTATCTTTGTTTCTCATTTACAATCATGCATTATGAATAAGGCAAGACTCCATTCCTTTCCATCATAACAATATTTGTATTTCATATTTGTTAAATTGAGTATTTCAAACATGTAAAATAAGTGGCCCAGAAAATATGTACACAAAGCCCAACATCAAAGAGGTTGTTTATGAGAGTGTCATGTCTGCAGCTCAGCCCTTCTCTGTCCCAGTTTCCAAAATACAAGAGAATAATTTGCTTCTTCTTGTAGTTCTTGTATCACTGACTGCCTATCCCCTGCACTGAACAAGAGAGGCTGTTTAGGACAAATCATGACAAATAATATAATTAAAGACCACCAAGATATTTACTTTCCGGCTTTTCCTAACTTATGAATACCTGGCATGGCAAACTTAGCACTCTTTTCATAGTTTCATAGTTGGTCGGGTCGGAAGGGACCTGAGCAGATCATCAAGTCCAACCCCCTGCCATGGCAGGAAAGAGTACTGGGGTCAAACAACTCCGGCAAGACGTTCATCCAGCCTCCTTTTAAATACCCCCAAGGTAGGAGCCAGCACCACTTCACTTGGTCCAGATCCTAGCTGCCCTGACCGTGAAGTCATGTCTCCTGATGTCTAGTCTGAATCTCCCTTCTGCCAGCTTGTGACCGTTATTTCTAGTCACTCCTGGCAGTGCTCGGGGGAACAGGGACTCCCCCAATGGCTGCTGGTCCCCCCTGACTAGTTTGTAAATGGCCACTAGGTCCCCCCTCAGCCTTCTCTTGTGGAGGCTGAACAGGTTCAGGTCTCTTAGCCTTTTAATGTAGTGGTTTCAACAAGAAAGCAGGAGGCAAAATATCACGTAGAACACAATGAAATTCAAGAAGAGATTACTAGTAGGTTTGCATTAATAGAGCATGCTCTGTTGAATTAACATTAGAAATGGTAATGACAGTAGGTTATTATCTAGAACTAGAAGGGAAGGGCAGATTACAGCAGGACCAGGTCAGGTTCCAGGGGTGGGCAAATGAAAACAGGATGGGATTCAATACTGATAAGTGCAGGGTGCTGCACTTGGGCAGCAAGAACCAGCAGCATACATACAGGCTGGGGAATTCCTCTCTCAAAAGCACGGTGGCAGAAAGAAATCTTGGAGTCATCATTGATGTTAAGATGAACATGGGCCGGCAGTGTGGGGACGCGGTCAGGAAGGCCAACCACACCTTGTCATGCATCCACAGATACATCTCAAGCAGGTCCAAGGAGGTGGTCCTCCCCCTCTATGCAGCACTGGTCAGGCCACAGCTGGAGTAAAGCGTCCAGTTCTGGGGGCCGCACTTCAGGAGGGATGTGGACAGCATGGACAGGGTCCAGAGGAGGCCATTTGCATGATTGGGGGCAGCAGGGCAGGCCCTACAAGGAGAGGCTACGGGACCTCAACCTGTTCAGCCTCCACAAGAGCAGGTTTATGGGGGATCTAGTGGCCATCTATAAACTTATTGGGGGGACCAGTGGGGAATGGGAGAGACCTTGTTCTCCCAAGCACCTCCCGGAGTAACAAGGAATAATGGCCATAAGTTGTTAGAGAGTAGGTTCAGACTAGACATTAGAAGACACTACTTCACTGTCAAGGTGGCTAGGATCTGGAACCAACTTCCAAGGGAAGTGGTGCTCGCTCCTACCCTGAGGGTCTTTAAGAGGAGGCTTGACATTTACCTGGCTGGGGTCATCTGAGCCCAGTTTTCTCTCTTGCCCAAGGCAGGGGTCGGACTGGAAGATCTACAAGGTCCCTTCCGACCCTATATCTATGAATCTATGAAAACTGGTTGAAAAAATAAAAACTATTTTTGTGAAAAACGTTGAAATCGTAAAACGTTCAAACAATAACTTTTTTGTTTTGACTGTGTTCTCTCTCAAACATTTCAGAGTTCTTTCATTTAAAACCCCAAAAAGATGATAAATCATTGTCAAAGCTTTTGTTATTGAGTTTGTGACATTTTTATAATCTTACAGATAGTGAATATTCTTTTTAAAAGAACAACAAACACTATTTATTGAAAGTTATCAGCAATTTTTGTGAGCATTTTGTTTTTGAGAAAAGGCTGTATGGTATGAGCTCACATGTGTGTGCGTGCCCCCTGAGGGTTTGTGTTGGCACAAACCTAAAAATCGGATCCTCTCTCAAAAC